TGATTATCTTGAGCCAAAATACCCTTTCTTTATTTTTAACCGCCTATAAATCTTCATATTTTCTAAAATTTCGTAAATCATTGCTTTAGCATTTATCATCATTTTTTTCTTAAAGTTGTAATATTGATTATACATTATATCAAGATCCTTATAGATGTTACTACTTAATATACTTAAGCAAGCACCCTGGTTGAACTGAACGGTTAACAGTGAACACAAAGCACCTTCCAGATTACTGTGATACTACTTTTAGACAGAATGAAAACTGCCCATATTTTTAGTTTAGCTAATGCATGTGCCCTTTGCCTTGTTACAGCCCTGCAGAGGGGTCTATAGTGTGGAAGTAGTGCGCGAGTAAACGAAGTGCTTTTTCCGCATCAGTCCACAGCAACTTCAAACTTCAACATTGAAATACTCCTGGAAAATACAGGTTTCAAGAAGTATCAAGAACAATTGATAAAATAACTGTTACAAATTTTGCTTGTTATTGGTCGAGAAGCGTGCTTTAATTAGAACGTCTATCCTTATTAGTAATGTATTAAGAAAAAGGAAAATAAATTTTAAGAACGTCGCTTCGTCGTGCTTTTGCATATAAGATGCTTGACTCATTTAATGCTCTGCACTTGTTGAGTACTTTATAATTCAGTGCACAAAGTACAGCGGCTCTTTTTCTATTTTTTTAATCGACAGTGAAATTTGTATTATATCATGTGCTTATACAGAAGTTTATCTAATTCTAAAATTATTTTCTCATTATATTGCAAAATTAATCTTCAATTTTCATAAATTTAACTGCATTTAGGCATTTTCTCAGACACTTCAAGTGCTTTTTTCCATTCAGACCACGTGTCATTGCCTTGAGAATATTATAATATTATTTGTTCGAATTGTATCCATATTCATGTGCCTTCTCATGCGCAACAGTTAAACAAACAAATGATACTCTTTGGCGGGAAACAGCTTCATTGTTAGATGTCACCATGAATCAACCAATGAGCGCGCGCATTAAAGGGAAACATCCCAGCCATGGCGAAGGCAGAGGCAAATAATTGCATGCGAGATACTAAAAAATCACGATATTTTCTTATAACCGAGTTCAATAGTTGTTTTATCATTCAAAGTTATTCTTTTCGCTCTCTCTTTAATATGTGCTTTGTTTTGTTTTTACTGCGCATGAGTAGAGTATTAGTTTCAGCAAAACGGCTTTGCTTCATAATGCAAATGAGCAGAATGTTGTTTGAAGGTCTTTATTTTGCTGTTCTCTCGGCCAAACAGAACGACGCAATAAAAAAAAATTTGAATGATAATGCTTTTTATTGGAGTTTCTCGATGTACCACTAAGGTACGAGGCAACAGAACGTTTAGTTATTCTTTGTGATAATATCTCTTCACACAGTAGAAACAAGGCAATAGCACCAGAAACCTAATTTTTCAGCTAATCGTAGACGGACAGCTGAACAGCATGACTCTAGGTCATCCTGCAGCCGGACCCTCTATGACGGCGTTGCCTAGTAACATACGGATATATGCTATGACCCAGAGATGCATGCTCTAAGCTGGATGGCTTCTTCTTTTATCTGGTCTGCGTACTTCATCAACTGGCCTATAATTCATAATGACATACATAGTTTGTTATTATCGGTTATTATCAGCAGAACAGAGCTGAATAAGCGCTCTTCAAGTGTATTATCATTGCCAATAATATTTATGTGTGTGTTGGACACGTTCGTACATGAACGGTATGAAAGCGGAAAAACAACACAGTAGGGAGGATGCAATAAGTTGGAAACTATCCACGGGAGGCCTGACATTTGACAAGACGAATCATACATCTTTTGTTCGGTGATGTATGACTTTGGTCCCTACCCCACCCCCCTCATGAATGTTGAAATCATTTATGCCAATTAGCTTTCAAAACTCAGAAAATAAGTTCAACTTGACTTTCTTTCCTCCTTTACTACTAATGATATGACAGAACATGTTACGACATGTAAGGACTGGAGCTTCAAGCTCTTGTYAGYCTTTACTTAACTGACTGTCCGCTTGARAGAAGTTCATTCAGTACCTTGGTGATCGACAACAGAACAAGATACTTCAGAGTAAAGAAACCACTTGAAGTCGTAGCAGGTAGGTCACAAGTTTTTTTTGAGATTCGTTAAAAAAAGGAATTTTTAAGAAAAAAAAGTTTCGTCACCTTTACTGCTTGAGTTTTAAAATAAAGGTTACACTGAGTACTAAACTCGTTCTCGCATCTATGACTTCGTCT